TATAATTCACCTTTACACTCTGATTGAGAATGATCTTGTAAGCATGATTTGTGGTTCTTTCCTTCCAACCAGAGTTAACCAAGCGAAACTGTGAAAGTCGAAGCCAAGAACCTTCTTGGAAAACCCTCTTGTAGAAAGAGAGTTTGAAGTCGTTAACCATAGCAGCAACTCGAAATCCCTAACAAATTTTAATATTTAGTTAAATAAGCAACAATTAACAACCACCAAATAATTGAATTCTGTGTACAATAACGAATCTTACCATTTCATCAACCAAGATGAAAAACATTCCTTCATGGCCTTCTGAATCAACCGTATCCCATCTCTTGAGAACCTTCACTTTGATTGTCTGTTTGAACTCCTCCCATGGTGTGAGATCTTTAACCATTGAATAGTCGGCCATTTTTTATGCAGAGATATTGATGCTTTTTTTTAGGTTTTCTCTATGTTAAGGATGAAGTTATTATCTCACAGAGGAAGCTATATATATAGAAGATGTAGTAAATTTATTGAGTAAAGTCGCGATGGTTGGAATAATTGTAATTGCAATAAATACAAAAATGGAATATTTCTTTTGCTAAAAAAAGGAATAAGGTAACCGAATCTAGTTCAATCTGTGTAAGAAGTTGTCAGTAGATGTATCAGTTTATATTAAGAAAGAAGAAAAAGGAAGTTACAGATGTAACGATACAAACAAATTTTTATCAAATACAATTAATATTTATGCAAAGATACAGAGGCTATATTAATTCCCTTTATATAATTAAATTTCAATATTAATAAGTTGTGTAACATTTAATTTTCATAAAAATTAAGAAACTATATATACTTTCATATCGAGATGAATATTTTATATATTACAAAATTAAATTGAGTATAAGTTGGTTTAGTAACCAAAATGTATATAAATCAAAGTGAATTTTATGGGACGTGAATCTATACATGCAAAAATATTTCCAACGAAAATAGCAATAAATGAAAAGCTGAAATCAGATATTGATCAAATCAAGTCAATATTGCCACCTTGCATGCACAGGTCCGAAAATTATGTATTCAACAATAATCCAACTACCAAACGATATGAAATTAATTGGTTACATTTACAATGAAATAAATATTTGACAAAAACATGCACTATTATTATATTATGAATACGATTTTGCCAAAGAACATAACTGTCTATATATAGTTTTATTAAACATTTAAAATGTAAATTTCAGATTATTGAGTTCATATTTATAAATAATGTATTAAAAAGTAAATTTCAGATTATTGAGTTCATATAAATATTGACAACAAAATCATAATGAACGACATTTTTGTTACATCATAAAATCAATAGTAAATTCAATAAAAAGCAAAGTTCAAACATCCCATGAGTAAATTTATGTCAGATACAAAGAAAGAAAGAAAGACATTAATAAAAAAGTAAATAATTCAACATATTAAAATCTCAAATACATGGACCGATCAGTTTCTAGGCTTCACGGAAGATGAACTTGCCTCATCATCATTACAACCCAAATCAATGACATTTGTAGGTTTATTCTGGGTATTCCAAAACCTGCAAATAAATCAATTATTGTAAGCAAACATAGCAAACCAAATATTTGATTATATTTAAAATAAGGTGCATATAATAGTTTACCTTCTAACAAAAGTTTTGGCTCGTGGACAATCAGGATGAAACTCGATTCTAGAAATCCCTCCTCTACACCGAATATAGTATCCAGCTATGAAAATAATATAAATGTTATTTCATAGATATCACAATAAAGATATCAATAATAAATCAATATTAATAATGTAATTTCAACTAACCTTTGCTTTGTTTAACAGACCAGTCGGTTAACATAACAACAAATGGTAACTGACTTTCACTGAAGATCTTGTCATTGAAATCAATTGCATGTGGTCCTAATGCAACACACGATAACAATAGCCCTCTACATATCGATTACAACAACATATTATTTAACAAAAAAACTGTTTATTGACTCATTAACAAATACATCAACCAAAAAAACATTGGAAACTTACTTATGATCCTTGATAGTGAAAGATATACTGGCATTCTTCTTATCCTGTCTTTCAGGGTATGAATCATCATTCACCGTATCTAGTGGATCAATATTAATAACAATCCCGAGAATATCTGAAGAAGAAAATCAAATTACAATTTATATGCTATGTAGTCAGTTTCTTAATTAAGATAAATAGTAATGAAATATAAGATTTATAATAATAGGCATAACTATACCGATAGGAAGACCAGGCTCTGTTTTGCCACCAAGCACATCAGAAAAAGAAACAAAACCCTGTGCAGTATCAAATTCGATAGGATCTATGTGATCCAATTCAGTGTTATTTAAAAACCTGATACAACTACCAATAGGAGAATTTGGTTCATCTGATGTTTCATCAAAGACCACAAATTCTGAAATACTTATCCAATCTCCTTCTTCAATTGTCTTGTCGAAAGATTTGATTAAATCAGAAATATATAGATAAGCTTGAATAGTTTCACCCTGAATATATAAGATAATTTAGAAAATACAAACTAATAACTCAATGTAATATAACAAAAATAGAACAATATAAGATAACAATAAAATAAGTACCTCTTCGTACATCAACATAAATTGTAACGATGGACGTTCCCTTGGATGTTTTACATGCCATTTCTTCAAAACTTTGCATCTTATAGTCCAGTTTGTCTTGTCAGAATGCAGATCTGTAATGAGGTCATAGTTTTCCATTAAAGGGTATTCTAGAGAGCTTTTGATTTTCAGAAACATAGTAACTGAAGGTTTGAATAAGAAAATGGTAAGAAATAGGTGGTCTCGGAAATATTAATGTGTTTAGATATTTTTTTAATTTCCATTATTGTATGAAATTTATTTACATTAAATTATGCACATATAAAATCAAATATATATTTATCATATCGATAAAGTTACTTACACAGCTAGTCAATATGTATTGAAGACATAAAAGGAAAACAGATTTATGTCATTGTGTTTTCAAATCAACTACAAAAGTCGTAGAGAATATTCGATGGTAATTTGTATACGCAACAATGTGTTATATAAAAAATCTGGAATATATATAACGCAAGAACTAAGGTACTAAATATTTTAATGTCTCAATAAATTATCCAACTGAATTCGAGATATTAATGTAGGCAAGTTTCATATGTCATAGAAATACTGGATATGATTATTGAAATATAATATGGAAAGTAGTAAAGTTCGTCATATGGGAAGACTCAAAAATTTCAAAAACAATTACATACAATAATTACATTATTATGCATGATGAAATATGGTAAGTCCATATTATAAAGTATAATAAATACTCTAAATATTTAAATTATAATTACAACAAATGAATAAATAAACTGACAGATTAAAAATCTAACTGCTTGATAAAACATTTCAGTAATCAAACAATCTGATAACATTGTTTATTTCGAGAAAATGGACTACAACTGATTATAAAATAATTTAGTAAATTACTTTCTTATTATGACGAAACTGAATGTTGAATGTTGAGATGTGGTTGTACTCGATTATTCTCAGTTGGATTGATTATAAATCCTGTAAAATGATAAAATGTAGTGAGTAAAGGGAAAATGTTAATATAATAAACTCTAAACAATTTATGCAAATTAGTACTTACAAAACCTAATAAATCTTTAATGGCTGATACATCTAATTCCTTGTAGACTCGTTTTACAAACTGCATTAAAGATTACTGATAGTTAAGTAATCTAAAATGAAATAACCAATAGTATTACAATCTGATTACAATAAAGGGGTTTGAAATACCTTCCACATATCTGATAGGAGAAACAACAGTAGAAATTATGAACTGAATAATAAAGTTCGAAGTTGTGGTAATGTCTTCATCATGAATAGGAATAAGAGTGAAATCTTCTATTGTAACCCACAAATTTTCTACAATACTATTCTCGAAAAATTGAAGGTATTTTCTATAAACTGTAGCATAAACTGTATGGCCCTGGAATACAAACACTAAACGTGTTTCTTAATGTAGCAAATAATAAAAATACTGAAAACGAAAGCAAGGATATCATTACGATTACCTCTTCGTCTTTTAGTTTCATATTGAGAGTAGTTCCCCGTTGTGGAGTATATTGTTTCCACTTGTGAATAATTTTAACTCTAATTTTCCAATCAGTAGTAAACGGATCTAAATCAGATATATAATCGAAAATACAACTCATGACTATAAAGCATATAAGAATCAAAGTAAGGCAAAACGATATAAATATAGCATGGTATACTATTTATATAAAGTGACACCTTTGTGATAGGGTTTTCCTTTAACTATATGGAATATTATGGAAAAGGATACTGCCAAGATATTCGGAATATAGTTGTTCGATATCTACGTGAAATATATTGTGTAAGCTAAAATATTCAAGCATATCATTATATCATTAAATCAACGCTACACACTAATAAATTAATAAGATCAATAAATTTATTTGATTGAATGTCAACTCTAATGAATTTGTATAACTTGAATAATTTCTACTTGCTTGGATGTGAAAATCAGACTATAATTAAGTGAGGGGGGTATTGGTTAAACAAGACATCCATACATATAAGAAATTATTTGTAATATACAAATATGAATGATTCCAATTAGTGTTTAATTGTATAGAAATGTATATAAAACTAAATTATATGTCAAACTTTATCAAATTATAATATAAGCTATGTAGGTATGGAGGTCAAAACAATAGCTTCGATGATATGATCATCTAAAATAGTTAAACGCAACATAATATAGTTTAAAATTCCTGCTTTTATTATACTTCAAATAACAAACCACAGAAAATCTGTAAACGGAAAAAGACAAATCCTACGGGCTAAGAAAAAAATAACTGAAACATAAACAATGAGATATTGTAGTAAATCCTAAGAAACAAAGCAAGCAGGAGAATGCATAGCCTTAAAGAAACGAAGACTTCAGTCATCAACTTTCTCTTTCTTAACAGGCTTCAGAGAAATCTTTTGTTCACTCGCCAAAGCCTTCATGTCCCCATTAGAAGCTTTCTTAGAAGTAGACTGCTCTCCATTATGATCATCAAAGTCAATCATCTCATCGCTTTTCCTTTTTGACTGTGGTGAATTATCATCGTCGCCGCTGTCAAGTAACATCTTAGGAACCTAAAATGACAAATTTAAACAAATATGTTTATGTACAGGCATATAATATTAATGAGAGGCATCTAATTCCTAAATAGCAAACCTGTTCATCGGGAGTTATAAACCCCATTTCATCAGACTTGACATCAGGGGTAGTCTATAAATAAAACAATAAGTTAACAATAATCAAAAGGCAATGAAATATGAATAAATATTAATAGGAATAAATAGTTTAGGGATCAAACCAAAAATCCAGATATTTCTGAGAATTCTTTGACCATGTCACTTTGGGTAACAATTTTTGTAACTTTGTAAACATCACTGTTGAAAACGATGTTTGAACTCTCAATAGATAGCTTGAACAGATAAGTTTTCCCACAAATGTTACTAATTGGAAGAGGGAGTACATCTGGATCTTGGATCTGCAAGCAATTTAGCAAACATATAAGTTTTCTAATATATATAGTAAGATTCACTATAATAGAGTTGATAGTAATCTGCATAACTACCTCTTCCACAGATTCAGTCAATTGTGCAGCTGTTTGATTTACAACTTCCATGGCAAGCTTATCAAAGATTAAGAACTTTGTTTCGCCAGTGTTGTCCATAACACGGAAAGTCAGCATAAACCTATGTTAGCATAGAAAAATATATGAATATGAATATATATAGAAATTACAAATATTCTTTTTTCACAACAAATTGCATCCAAGACTTATGCTGGTACGACACTTTCAACATCATCCTTACATTTGCCACATTTCCATAACTGTTTAGGAAATGGCCTACCAGGATATTGCTCTTTCAACAAATCCATATCAAGAGGAAGCACATTTTTAGAGCACACTTTGCATGACATATAGTACCATCCAAACTCAGTGTCAATAGACATGATGGTAGCCATAGTCACACATTTTTCAACCTAATAATTGAAGCATTACTTTCTTTTAAAAACCCAATCGCCATTTATTGTTTAAGAAATATGTATACCACACAAAATAAATACCTCAGATGCACCAAGTATTTCACTTATTGTCCGGCGAGGGGTATGTAAGAAGAAATCATCTCTTACAGAAACAGAATTGACAATGGTCAATTGGTTAGGGTGTGTGTATGACAAAGGCACATCATCTTTTGGTAAGCTGTAAAGAAAAAATATATATTGGATTTTAGTGACATGAAAGTAAATTAAATGGAAAATTGATAAAAGTTATAGATATGAATATACCGGTTTCTAAAAGAATTTATTTCAGGGAGATCAGGATCTGTCATCACAATGGAAGAACTGTAACAATTGCCAATACTCCATACACCTAAATAATGAAATGTCTTGAAAGTTATATATATTTTTTAAAAACGATATTTTGTTTGTTAACAAAAAACATTAGTTTCGTACCTGGATACAATCTTAACTTTCCGAATCTTAACACGAAACAAATGGTAGCATTAGTTGCATGTGTAGCAACACTCTCCAAACTTTCGGCATAATTCCCCCAGAGAACACAATTCAGGCGCACATCACTAAAAGACAAAAAATATATTAGACGTCTTATTAACAATATATAGGTCTCAAAGGGAATTAAAAAACCTGGTGTCACGAAGTGTCATTGTTAGACGTTTGGTCTGTTTTTTGTTAACATTGAGAATCTCAACCTCACCAATACTAACAATTTGTCCAACAATATCTGTAAAATAAAAACATAAACCAATAATTAGATGTAACATGCTTTGGTTCATATTAGTAATGTATGCGAGATATAAATATACCATTTACCTATTAGAAAATCAGGATTCAACTTGCCCTCGTGAATATCAGCGAAGTTCACTAACTTCAACCCAAGAATTGTGGCATCCAGATCTTCAGAAGGTCTGACAGACGTCATGGCAGCAAACTGGATCTTGTAAACATGAAAAGTAGTCCTGAACTTACCACCATTGTAAGTGACTTGAAAATTAGTGATGATCTTAGTAGTTCTTTCCTCTAGAAGATTTTCAAATTTTTTAATGAACTGCTTCTTCATACTAACATGCATAGTTTGATTCTGCATGGCAATATAATAAGAAGCAAAACGTTAAAAATATATATATAATCAAAATGGAACAGTATGAATAACGAACAAACAAAGTACAAAACAATACCAGTTCATCGACAACGACCATCTCCATCGTCTCGATCACATTCAAATACTGTTTCCACAACTTCAGTATCTTGACACGAATCCTCCATTGAGTTTTGAATGGCTTTAGGGCAGTGAGGGATGTGAAGGTCGACATCGCAAACTTTGCAAGTGGGAGTATATAAGCTAAATATTGCTTAGATGGTGTGATGAATTTGATATCAACAGTGGTAACTATATATAGCGAAATGACGAATGCGGTGAGTCTAGGGTAAATCTTCGATGCAATCTTTAGAAGAGGGAAAGTATTGTAAGCGGTCAATTATGAATTTGAATTTGAAATGACGTTGAAATTTGATAGATTTAAGCAATTTTGATATATTTAAATTGCAATATTAGACCCGGAAAACAAATTTAGATGGGATAATGAACAATTGAACATGGATCACATGAATCTGGAAGAAAATAAAAAATAGAATGGGAAAATGTGAAACAGCTGTCAAAAATTATGTCGGAAGCGTTGACTTAGATTGGAAATTCTGACAAAAACAGACAAGACTTTAGCATTTATTCTTTAATAGTTTCTAAGACTTTGGTTGGACCACACATTCTCAATTATTTAGTGAAACTTTACACTCGCCGAATTACAAAAGATTTCCTTGTCTCCCTTAATTTTTTTTTTTTTGTCTCCCTTAATTTTGACTAAGAAAAAAAACATAGTTGTTGTTTCACGTTTTAAAATTGTTAAAATCCACACTATGTGACTTGTATACATTTAATCATTATTGATGTAATGATTCACGTCTTATTTTCGCATTTCACATCTGTGAGATGTGCCACGTAAATGTTTGATTCCCCGAGGAGGCAAAGTTTATAAATTTATTTAGTTGATAAGATCCCAAATAATTTGATATTGTAATACACAAACTTCTCAGGGGGCTAAGTTTTTTATCATTAACTAATTAAAAATATATTTTTTACCAAATAATGGGCTATCTGTATTTATAATTTGGTATATATCAAAATCTTCTCATTCTCTTCTTTCCATCTCTCACAAGGTCTTAGCCAAGAAAATGAAGCAAACTTTATGCCTCACAGTTCTCTTCTTCATCTTCCTTTTCTTTACCACAAGTTCGTCTGCAATTAGAAGAGGTATGTTATTAATATATTAGTAGTGATTTGTTTTATTTCATCTTCCTTCATTTCTAAATCTTAATCTTTAATTACGAAAAGAGGATCCAGAGCTAAGTCCATTAGTTTCAGCTATAACAGTGGAAGACGGCGCGGTTGAGGTAACTCCTAATTTTTTCCTTATAGTTCCTTATTTTAAATTTTACTAGAACCATATGAAAACCACCTACTATGCTGAAAAAAAATTAAAACTGTTTTTAGATGCATACCAAGAACCTTTTGCATTTAATAATTTTCTATAGTATTGTCTAGGGTTTACATTCTGAAATTGATATTAGGACTTCAAAATTGAATTTTTATCTTATATCTGCTTGTGATTTTATCTTTTCATTTTTCTTGCTTCACAAAAGGAAAAAAAATATGAGAACTATAGTGGTGTATTTTCTCCTAGTTTCTATACACAAGATCTGATTATTGCGAAATAATAGAGTTAATGAACGTAATTAAAAGTAGTTCGTAATTATATGCAGTCTCTGAGATAATATTTAAACCGTGTATTTTTTTCTTATAATATAATAAATAAACAGAGCTTGATGGGGATGGATTTTTGCGGAGAAGGAGATGAAGAATGCTTGAAGAGAAGAATGATGACCGAAGCTCACTTAGACTACATTTACACACAACACCATAAGCATTAACATAATAATTACATTAAATTTTGCAAAACACTTGGGCGTGTCTAGTGTGTTTATTTAGCTATGTATTGTATATGTAGGATGAACGAGATATTTTTCATTCGGAACAATCATATAACACCAAATCTACCCGAAGTCTGGGGTTCGATCTAAACCTATACTAATTAATAGTTCTAATAATATTTTCACACAAGCAAAAGTTCTCTATCTACTTAAACAAAAAGTTCTCTATCTAATCTATGGTTGATCTTTACAAAGTATATAAACTAAACATAATCCAACCAAACCCAATCCTAAACAAAATAAAAATATAATTCCAAAAGCTTTTTTTTTTTGGATTTTGAGTAGCTTGGGTTAAGTTTAAGTACGATATTGGAACCAAAGAAAAATCTGTTCGTTTCGTTTTGGCTGTTGGTTTCGCATCGATTCTATTTCTAAAGTGAAGAACCACCTTTGGATCTGAGATATTTTTGGGTACAGTTTTGATCAGCACTGATTCAGATATTTTTATCTAAATTATCCAAACTATCCAAATCAGAAAAGTATATTGGAACTATCTATTGTAATATATGCGAAGTGAATCGGACTCTGGTTCAAAACTCAGTTTTTATGTCTTTTTGTTAAATTTATTTTAATACCTTTAATAAAAAACATTCTCTGACTGGTCTGTTTTATTTAATAATAAATCTGTAATCAGAGAAAAAATAATTCAATTCAGAACTGGCTTTAAAAGAAGTAGTCTAATCACTTTTTTTTTTACCGAAAATATAATATATATTTGCCAACTGAATATTTCTTAAAAAATCAATATAATTGTGATAGTTAATTACTTACCTTCTAACTCTTTGTGTTCTATTTAGCGCAGACGGCC